TAGATCATGAGGTGTACCACAGTGATCATGTATTTTTTCCTGGTATTATCATAATACATCGAACATTCGAAAGTTTTTTTACAGCATACGATTTGATAACTTGTTAAGGCATGCAATACATAGCCCAAGTCATGCAAAAAAGCTTTTATAGCACAAAACTACATGATCCATTCATTGGCGAAATAAAGACGAACCCTGTCTGATCAATATATGATGCTCATGCTAAAAGAGTTCGATTCAAGTATAATTTTGTGATACAATCAATAACAAAGGATGTATAATTAGATTAAAACCTTAGAATTTAGTGTTCATGACCTAAATTTTGAACTTTCATTCGTTTTTAATGAAATTTTTGTATACTGTCAGTCTCAGTTCATGTAATAGTGATTTTTAACTAAAGTTTTTTACTCACCGTATAGGGTCTTGCTTTCTTCATTAACCATTGTTTTTGGTTTAAACTGAAAACAGCTACTTCATCTCTTGGGCTGGGATACGTCTGAAAAAATGAGAAATTTTTTTTAATATCTAATACTGCTGGTCAAACAGTAATCCTTACAGCAATTGACGATGGATTGCTTTCCAGTCCACCCCATAGAATAGCGACCGTTTGATCTTGACCCATATTTTGATTTAATCCTCCGTATGGCGACGCACATGTACTGTATGACGGTACAGTAGCCATGACAGCTCCCATCTTTGTTGGTGGACACTCGGAAATGCGTTCCCAGTGACCATTGTCAATATTTAATAGCCAAGTATCTTTCGATGGGCAGGGACCACCCTTTCCATAACCACTTAAGCATCCACCATACAAAAGCATTAGATTATTAGTCAACATTGTTGTTGAATGACCATATCTGGCATGAGCATAACTAGGATTGAATGATGGCATGTTTTGCATTACTAAATAATGGAAAATAGATAACTGCACTTTTCTGAGTAATGATCTGTATGAAATATACTTGATGCTGTTTGTGATACGCCGTTTACACTAAATCCCGTATTTCCGCTTCCTACGGAATCGACATTTGAATACATCCAATCTCTTGTTTTTCCCATAGTAACAATGACTCTTGGTTGCGATGAATAACTTGATCCATACATAGAACCAAATGGAGATAGAGCAGCAGATCCAAATCCACGACTATATGACGTCGTCTGCAATTGTTGCCATTGTTTACTTCTGAAAGTTTGGAAAAATATATATATATTAATAAGAATTATATTAGTCAAAGAATAGATGACTAATTTATAACCGTTTTTTTTGACTGCACTGACTTAAGCGTGGAAAAATAAAGAAAAACCTATTTACTGGAAGTTTAAAAACCATGAATCTTGTAGTGGTTGATAATTTTGATCATTGTTCACGTCTCCGTTCGTCGGATTGTAATTTTGATTGTTTATTAAAGATGGATTTTGCGCAGGGTTATAATTCATCTGATTCGAACCTACACTTCCGTAACCAGTATAAGGATTATTATTGTACGTTGATTGTTGATAACCAAAACCACCAAATACATACATTCCACTATTTAGCGTATAACTGCTTGGACTCGCATAGGCCATTCCATATCGGCTACTTGGTGGATTTTGAAAATAGAGTGGTTCCCATCCACCTAAATTCAAGATGAAAATCAGCTTTACACCTTAAACTTAACGATAATAATTATTCGTCAAAATTACCTTGTAATAAATTAAATGCGCTTGTATCTTGTAACGGTTGACCGGTCAATCCTCGGCCACCATAGATGATTAAAAATGTCGAATCATAGCCCATAGCAGCATCACGTCTACCAGTGGGCGTGTCTGGTGAAACACCATCTGTTAACAAAACCCACTGTAAACCTTGTCCTTGCGATGTTACATATTTTATAAAACAAAAAATAATCAGTAACGTTTCTTTCCACATCTAAAAACAGAACAAAGAAAACGTAATTGACAATAAATTTTTATTAATCGTTACTGATTTTACTAAAATACGGACGAACTACCATCTGTAAACATAGCCTTCCACTGTAAATGCTAAAAAACTACTTTCATCATCTTAAGACTTATTCGCACAAGCACAGATTTGTCTATGTATGTCTTATTGAATTCAACTCTGTTTATTCGATAAAGATAGTTGTAATTGCAGTAATCTATTCACATTTAACTGCTTTTTTTGCTTAGATCTAACATAATATATCGAACACTCAATATGTTAATAAATATATCGTTGAAAATTCATAACACAATTGTAGTGATTCCTCTTTGTATTGATTTCTAATTTATGTTTTAACATTATTTTTTTATGGATGGTTTTTTCTTTCTTCTTCTGTATACGATGAAATCAATGACGTAGTGCTAAAACTTTTACTCACCTGCATTAAAAACGCACAACTGCTACAGATCACCGTGTTGTTTCTCTTGTACAAAATAATAAGTTTTTTTTTTCTATATTTAAAACTCATGGTAAAAGTGTCATTTTTTTTTTCTCTTTTTTGTTTTTTCTTCTTCTTTTATTACATTGAGTTGCCGTCATTAATATATAAACGCAATGAGAAATAAACAGGCTACAGTACAGTACATATATGCATATCAATTCAAATTGTTATTCTTTAATGTTGTACACATTACTTTTGCCAGCATCATTTCGAATACAAATAAATCAATTTCGAAATGTTATTTTTCTCAAATTAAAAGAGTTATGAGATAAAATATGATTTACCTGCTAAAGAAGTCAAATATTTTTCTTTGAAAAAAGAGAATAAGTAATAAAAGATATACAATTTTTCAATGTCTACGAAATTGACTGAGAGACAATCTCGAACTAGTTTTATCAAAATAAAAATCTAGATGATTCAACTCTAATTGAATCAGTCAATCTTTTATCCACAAAAATCTGATCAAAAACATTTTCCTTAATAAAATAAAATATACATTACAATTTATTAAAACGACGACAAAATCTATCAGATAAAATTTAATGAAACGAAGAAGTGATTCCATAGAGTTTCTTTAATTGAGAAACTTCCATTTAGTTTTTTAAATTTGTGGTAGTATGCGCACAGTGAAAAAATCCGTTACTCATCATATCTCTTCTTGTTTTCTAAAAACAAAATGATATTTTTGATGTTACCTGTTTCGATTAGGCTTTCGAATAAAAATATGTACTACTAGTAGACTGAGGAAGTTTCATTGTCGAATAACCGGATTAAAAAAAACTTGTATTTTACCAACTAAATACCTGTGGCTGTCGTTTTAAAAACACAAAACTTACAATTTCAAGTTTTTGTCAACGAAGCAAAAACTATCCCAATTGAAATCAATATCAATGTAAAAAGAAAAATCTATTTTGATAGACATTAAAAATATTCTTGAAAAAATTAATTAATTTCATTAATAGTTTGATTCTTTTTTCTTTTTCACTCAACACTAGTTTCAAATCATCTTCTATTAATTTCAGAGATGACTCATAGCGTTAATGAAACAAATTACCTGTTTCATCATTACGCTTTAAAAATCGATACTTTATTTTATTTATCATACATATCGTTCATTTAAATGCAGTTTAATACGCGAGACTGAAGACACAGAGACACCTTTTCTTTTTATTATCTTATTTATATCTCAATATATTAACTGTCAAAGAAATGCCAAAAAAAATATGTTTCTTCATAAAGTAATAATACAACTAACCTAATCTACTTGAAATAAAACGAAAATATAAGCTAGTAAATGATTTTGATAACAAATAATAACAATAATACTATCTTAATAATTTTAGTTCACTCTTCTGACTAATACACTGATTATTTATCTTTTCTAAACAAAAAAATACAAATTTTTTTTTAATTTACTCATTGCATGTATTACAAAAAAAAAAATATTAATAAAAAAAATTAACATGTATATGTAGTTGAAGAGAACAAAAAAAAAAAGACATGGGACGAAGAGACGGTGTTCGTTCATACTTTGTCGATAGCGAAAAAANATGAAGAAACATATTTTTTTTGGCATTTCTTTGACAGTTAATATATTGAGATATAAATAAGATAATAAAAAGAAAAGGTGTCTCTGTGTCTTCAGTCTCGCGTATTAAACTGCATTTAAATGAACGATATGTATGATAAATAAAATAAAGTATCGATTTTTAAAGCGTAATGATGAAACAGGTAATTTGTTTCATTAACGCTATGAGTCATCTCTGAAATTAATAGAAGATGATTTGAAACTAGTGTTGAGTGAAAAAGAAAAAAGAATCAAACTATTAATGAAATTAATTAATTTTTTCAAGAATATTTTTAATGTCTATCAAAATAGATTTTTCTTTTTACATTGATATTGATTTCAATTGGGATAGTTTTTGCTTCGTTGACAAAAACTTGAAATTGTAAGTTTTGTGTTTTTAAAACGACAGCCACAGGTATTTAGTTGGTAAAATACAAGTTTTTTTTAATCCGGTTATTCGACAATGAAACTTCCTCAGTCTACTAGTAGTACATATTTTTATTCGAAAGCCTAATCGAAACAGGTAACATCAAAAATATCATTTTGTTTTTAGAAAACAAGAAGAGATATGATGAGTAACGGATTTTTTCACTGTGCGCATACTACCACAAATTTAAAAAACTAAATGGAAGTTTCTCAATTAAAGAAACTCTATGGAATCACTTCTTCGTTTCATTAAATTTTATCTGATAGATTTTGTCGTCGTTTTAATAAATTGTAATGTATATTTTATTTTATTAAGGAAAATGTTTTTGATCAGATTTTTGTGGATAAAAGATTGACTGATTCAATTAGAGTTGAATCATCTAGATTTTTATTTTGATAAAACTAGTTCGAGATTGTCTCTCAGTCAATTTCGTAGACATTGAAAAATTGTATATCTTTTATTACTTATTCTCTTTTTTCAAAGAAAAATATTTGACTTCTTTAGCAGGTAAATCATATTTTATCTCATAACTCTTTTAATTTGAGAAAAATAACATTTCGAAATTGATTTATTTGTATTCGAAATGATGCTGGCAAAAGTAATGTGTACAACATTAAAGAATAACAATTTGAATTGATATGCATATATGTACTGTACTGTAGCCTGTTTATTTCTCATTGCGTTTATATATTAATGACGGCAACTCAATGTAATAAAAGAAGAAGAAAAAACAAAAAAGAGAAAAAAAAAATGACACTTTTACCATGAGTTTTAAATATAGAAAAAAAAAACTTATTATTTTGTACAAGAGAAACAACACGGTGATCTGTAGCAGTTGTGCGTTTTTAATGCAGGTGAGTAAAAGTTTTAGCACTACGTCATTGATTTCATCGTATACAGAAGAAGAAAGAAAAAACCATCCATAAAAAAATAATGTTAAAACATAAATTAGAAATCAATACAAAGAGGAATCACTACAATTGTGTTATGAATTTTCAACGATATATTTATTAACATATTGAGTGTTCGATATATTATGTTAGATCTAAGCAAAAAAAGCAGTTAAATGTGAATAGATTACTGCAATTACAACTATCTTTATCGAATAAACAGAGTTGAATTCAATAAGACATACATAGACAAATCTGTGCTTGTGCGAATAAGTCTTAAGATGATGAAAGTAGTTTTTTAGCATTTACAGTGGAAGGCTATGTTTACAGATGGTAGTTCGTCCGTATTTTAGTAAAATCAGTAACGATTAATAAAAATTTATTGTCAATTACGTTTTCTTTGTTCTGTTTTTAGATGTGGAAAGAAACGTTACTGATTATTTTTTGTTTTATAAAATATGTAACATCGCAAGGACAAGGTTTACAGTGGGTTTTGTTAACAGATGGTGTTTCACCAGACACGCCCACTGGTAGACGTGATGCTGCTATGGGCTATGATTCGACATTTTTAATCATCTATGGTGGCCGAGGATTGACCGGTCAACCGTTACAAGATACAAGCGCATTTAATTTATTACAAGGTAATTTTGACGAATAATTATTATCGTTAAGTTTAAGGTGTAAAGCTGATTTTCATCTTGAATTTAGGTGGATGGGAACCACTCTATTTTCAAAATCCACCAAGTAGCCGATATGGAATGGCCTATGCGAGTCCAAGCAGTTATACGCTAAATAGTGGAATGTATGTATTTGGTGGTTTTGGTTATCAACAATCAACGTACAATAATAATCCTTATACTGGTTACGGAAGTGTAGGTTCGAATCAGATGAATTATAACCCTGCGCAAAATCCATCTTTAATAAACAATCAAAATTACAATCCGACGAACGGAGACGTGAACAATGATCAAAATTATCAACCACTACAAGATTCATGGTTTTTAAACTTCCAGTAAATAGGTTTTTCTTTATTTTTCCACGCTTAAGTCAGTGCAGTCAAAAAAAACGGTTATAAATTAGTCATCTATTCTTTGACTAATATAATTCTTATTAATATATATATATTTTTCCAAACTTTCAGAAGTAAACAATGGCAACAATTGCAGACGACGTCATATAGTCGTGGATTTGGATCTGCTGCTCTATCTCCATTTGGTTCTATGTATGGATCAAGTTATTCATCGCAACCAAGAGTCATTGTTACTATGGGAAAAACAAGAGATTGGATGTATTCAAATGTCGATTCCGTAGGAAGCGGAAATACGGGATTTAGTGTAAACGGCGTATCACAAACAGCATCAAGTATATTTCATACAGATCATTACTCAGAAAAGTGCAGTTATCTATTTTCCATTATTTAGTAATGCAAAACATGCCATCATTCAATCCTAGTTATGCTCATGCCAGATATGGTCATTCAACAACAATGTTGACTAATAATCTAATGCTTTTGTATGGTGGATGCTTAAGTGGTTATGGAAAGGGTGGTCCCTGCCCATCGAAAGATACTTGGCTATTAAATATTGACAATGGTCACTGGGAACGCATTTCCGAGTGTCCACCAACAAAGATGGGAGCTGTCATGGCTACTGTACCGTCATACAGTACATGTGCGTCGCCATACGGAGGATTAAATCAAAATATGGGTCAAGATCAAACGGTCGCTATTCTATGGGGTGGACTGGAAAGCAATCCATCGTCAATTGCTGTAAGGATTACTGTTTGACCAGCAGTATTAGATATTAAAAAAAATTTCTCATTTTTTCAGACGTATCCCAGCCCAAGAGATGAAGTAGCTGTTTTCAGTTTAAACCAAAAACAATGGTTAATGAAGAAAGCAAGACCCTATACGGTGAGTAAAAAACTTTAGTTAAAAATCACTATTACATGAACTGAGACTGACAGTATACAAAAATTTCATTAAAAACGAATGAAAGTTCAAAATTTAGGTCATGAACACTAAATTCTAAGGTTTTAATCTAATTATACATCCTTTGTTATTGATTGTATCACAAAATTATACTTGAATCGAACTCTTTTAGCATGAGCATCATATATTGATCAGACAGGGTTCGTCTTTATTTCGCCAATGAATGGATCATGTAGTTTTGTGCTATAAAAGCTTTTTTGCATGACTTGGGCTATGTATTGCATGCCTTAACAAGTTATCAAATCGTATGCTGTAAAAAAACTTTCGAATGTTCGATGTATTATGATAATACCAGGAAAAAATACATGATCACTGTGGTACACCTCATGATCTATCCATTCATTTCATTGTAGGATGGCAGTTATCCATTACCTCGTCAAGGAGCTGCCTTTTCTGGCGGCTGCTTTCAAGGACTACCAGGTACAGTACTTTGACTAAAGCTATATGATTTTTAATTAATAACTATATCTTGCTGTTACAGGTGTGTTTGTATTCGGTGGAAGAAGCAACAAGTAAGCATTTGAGCAAAACTTTCATATTTTTGGATAAAAGAAATTGTTTTTTTCTAATAACTAGTGATGGTCGTCTTCTCAATGATCTATGGTTTTTACAAGCAGCATCTCAAGATGCGTTGAATGCACCAGTATCACGTGGTTGTGTTTATCCATTTTCTTATTATCATCTCCATGGAATATTTCAGTTTTTTACGTATGGTGTCATTTTTCCATTTGGTTTTATTGTTGGACGACATGCACCCGTTACGAACACACGTAAACTATTGCATATGTTTTTGCAGGTATTTAGTTAGTCAAAATAACACTCTATCTTATCAGTAACATTTTAACGTTTCATTCAAAGATATTCGGCTTCCTTCTTGCCATTTGTGGTTTCGCATTCGGTGTTCACTCCGTACGAGCTCCGTCATGGCTACATTTTAAACATGCACATGCTATTATTGGAATTATTACGTTTATTCTAACGATTATTCAGTTTGTAGTGGGTTTGTAAGTATATGAAAATGACTGACAAGACGTCAGTTATAATATTCCAATGTTTTCTAGAATTGGTGCAATGTTTGTTAAAAGAAGTAATGGTAATGTTAAGAAAAAAGAAGTATCAATAAAGAAAGTTAACCAAGAGGAATGGCGAGGCTACAAGCCATGGCGACTGGCTCATGGATTACTTGGCACGTTAGTTTTATTACTCGGTCTCATTAATATATCACTTGGGGTATTTTTGGCTGTTTTACCGTTACCCGTATGGATAATCTGGTTTATTTATATGGGTATCTTAGTCATCATATTAGTGCTGTTAGAAATCAAAAAACTATTAGTACCGAAAGGTAAAGTGATTTAAATTTTTAATAATGTAGATATTTGTAGGGACAAAAGAAGCTCAGAATGAGAGATATGTCAATATTTAACATTAAACCAAACGTATAGATGAGTTTCTAATTCAAATTTCTTCTTTTTCAAAAACGTCATTAGGAGAAAGATCAATCGAATCTTCGTTATACAATTTTCATATGAAATAAATTTTCTTTCTGGTAGTACTCCTAAATATTGTAGCAAAACTGACTCAAATAAATAAATATGATATCTATATCAGGTGAGTTATTAACTTCAAAGTATATAGACATTTACTAAATGTTTGTGGATGCGTGTATTATTCAAGTCATTGTTGTTATACTGATAGAATTAGCAACAGGAGAAGAAAATTAGTTGTTGAATTTTTTATTGCATATTTCGAGCACAGTAGATTTTACACATGTACACCTTTTCAGAAAAAGCTCGACCACCAATACATGGTAGAGAATCGAATCAGAGTCTAAATTCTTCAGAAGATCCACACCAAACTAAACGTCCAATCACCGGACGCTTTCAACCATCTTCTGGTGATAATGGAAGTTTCAGACGTGATAATGTACCATTGCTAGACTCAGAGTCTATAACCCGAGATCCCAGACAACGACCAAATGATGTGACAGGAGCTGCAAGTCTGCCACAGTATAATAGACCAATGGAAAGAGATCATCGTCCTCGTCAACCACCACAGCCACATCAAAGAGGAAAAGATGTTAGTTTCGATTATTATGTTGGTTATGCACCGGAACACGAAACAGCGATGCCGTATGTTATTTACTGACTACGAAAATATTTTTCGCTTTACATCCTCTTGTGTGTGCGTGTGCTATTTGTAACAAATTCAAGACAGTTTGCTTATATTGAATTGATGAAATCGCAAATCAATATACTAATTTCTTTTTATAATCAAGAATGAAGAAACAGACTTCTTTTGCACATGCTTCAGCAATTGATATTTTATTTAATCTTAATTGTAATCTGTCTGCTTTGCTTTGTTTTGGCTTACGTTTTGAAAAATGTGATTACGTTGCACTGTCCTATCTGATCTATATTCATTCGGGACGGTGATTCGTAAACATATACAAATTTCACAATCCTTTTAACATTAAATCCATTATGTTTCAGCATGTATACATTATTACTTATTGGGGCAAATTCTTTTAATGCTTTATTTCTTCATTTAGTTTTTGAATCGTCTGTTTTATTTATTAATTGTTGTTTTGTATTTATTTTTAGACGACCAACGCAGCAGAGCGAGCACAATCTCACTCGAATTAGGCTCCAGTAAAAATCTACAACAATTTCATTCTGATTCTTCCACACTTCGATCGGATAAATTGCCTTTATATCGTCGAAATTTATAAATCAGTATTTTTATATGTTCATGTTCATCTAATCGACTATTTTACTCAAAAACTAAATATGAATCTATTCTATTATTTATCTGAATGAAACAAATTTAGTCCTGTTTTCCAGGATTATTTTTTCTTACTATTCTCGATCACGATTCTCAGCTAAGTACTATTATAAAGAAGTCGTTTTCAACTATACTGTTCTGTACAAAATACAAATGTTTAATCACACATTCCAGACGTGTATGCCATCGTTTGTTGCTTGTTTGTACGTTTGGAACACATTTCTTTTTGTAAATATAATTTTTTTATGCTCTAACAGTGATTTTCACTGAGTCTCATTCTTTTTTAACAATTTTTTTTGCTGTTGTTGTAAATTTTTTTTATAGTGTTTGTTTTTTTACATGCATATATACGAATAATTATTAATTTTATATTAAAAAAACGTCCAGCGTAAAGTTACGAAAAATTTTGTTTGTTTATGCTCAGAAGTTCTAAGGTCATGTAATCAACTATTTTCAGCACCACTGTCGTTTCAGATAAAGACACTTTGCTTTTTAACAAGAAAGAAAACGTTTTCCCGATAATTACTCAACGATGCTGTGAATAGTGTCCAGTCATAGAAAATTTTTTTGTTCGATTTTTTTTTTTTATTACAAAAAGAGCTGGTATGGTTCTTTCACACATACTGTTACAGCTACGATTGTTTAACGTCTTGTGGAAAAATCGGACAAATTATAAAAGAATGTGTCCGATAGTAAGACAAATTTCTAGGTGATATTGTTCACAGAAAGTAAGACATCTGGTATCTCTGCATAATACACACCATACGCCTACTGACGTCTTATGATGTAGAGAGGAGGCTTTCTTCTCTATTTTCAAAAAAAATTTTAATAATTTATTCAACGTTTATTTGAGTTTGTTCTTATCCGCCATGTTCTTTATCCCAGCGCTTTACTTCTTATATTTATCGACTGATGAACAGCTCAGTAAGCGCTTATTGTAGAAGGCCGTGCAGTAGCTGCTTATTTCGTGCAAAACTGATTTCTTTTTAATGCATAATGTCTAAGAAAATCAAAGCTGATAAGACCAATTTTAGAAACTGTCCAACTCCTGCCAGACAGTATTTCGAATATTAAGAAGAAAAGCACATTTCCACCCAAAATGTTAGTTAATCCAGGCTTATCCGCTCCCTTTTTTCTTCTAAAAAACAGTTCCATATGGCATTCTGAGGAAATCAATAGATTTACTCTACAAAACGTGGCATTGGAAGATAATCCATAAACCAATGATTACTGTCATCGATAGTGAACCATGTAAAGCTATAAAAATAAATGTAGTTTCTAACTAAGAAATTAATGGCAATAAAGGCAAATGTATTTATGATCGATGTTAATGCTCTCTGGGTAGGCAATAGAAAATAATACCTCGAATCCTTAGCTTTGCCTGGTGACTGAGGTTGCCATCGTATATTCAATATAGTACAGAGATCATACAAAAGTATAGTTAAAAGTGCCTATAGAGTAAGTTGGGTTAATTCTGGACAGTCTCTTCATATTACATCAAACATTTTTTAAAAACAGCTCATCTATCGTCAACTATTAAGCTGTCTTTTAGAAACCGGTTTGATACCTTGCTAAACAGCACAATTGTTCATAACTATGAGCTCTATCATACATGTAAGACAAGATGAAAAAAGTGTATTTTCACCGTTTTCTGTAGAGAATATGAATACTGTTGTTTCTGAACGGAGGTTCGTCCATTAAAATCAAAAGAAAAATTAAATTAGAACTCTGACTGACAATCAGCTCACGAACAAATTCAACTTTTCATAAACCTCGTGCAATTCTCTTCATGTTACATTAAATACTAGCATTAACTATTTCAGTGAATAGTCAATAGTCAGGATTATATCTCAATACAGTTGGTAGTGTACCAATTAGAAGTTAAAGCACTAATCAAATAAATTTCTTCAAGTTCTGTAAAATGTACGTCCAGCATCATGATGAGATACTTGTGAAGAATGATGTAAATGTAATATTGATTTTGGAATATTGTATTTCTTTGCATTAACATGAATATCAATGCCTTCAGAAATTTCTTTGAGTGCAAGTTGAAAGTCTTCATTTGAATAATGAGATATTTGACCATTTCTAACGTATGTTCGAGGAATTAAGATGTGTAAAAGCGACTATAGGATTAATGATAGCGTAAGGAATAACAGTGTTTCTTCTGTACTTATATGTACAAAGCATTTTTTTCACTTCAGTCTGAGCAAAATTCTCTACAGGATGGTATAATTTTTAATTAGAAACTTTGCCATTGAAAAAAAGTTCTTTTACTTTCTTCCAGCCATTTTTGAGATATGATGTAATTATGGACATTTAATAGGCGCTCTCTAGAAATTGATGGGTACTAATTAATCTTATCGTCAGGTGAGAAGGAGAATAAGAAATGAATAAATTTTGTTTGTTGTGTTCATAGCACAAACGATGACATATTAGCCTCATCAGTATAACAATCGGCTGATGACTTGAGAAAGATCAATGGCACCACTTGTAGTAGGATTGATTACGTGTACACTTATCCCAGTCTAAGGTTGAGGTTTGGCGTCAACCATGTTGTTTTATTTTATATCAATTTTCTTTAAGTCATACACGTTCGACATCAATCTTGATTCATATCAAACACGCTTGCTATTAGATTATAAATATTTTTCTCATAGATATCGAAATATAAAATAAATTAATAAATCAAGTCAATAAATTGTTTGAAAACTAATGTGAATTGTGAATTAAAATACATTTCAAATCATGTTTACAGTTAGCGAAAAAACATGTGAATAACATATTTTGACAGCAAACATGTTTGAGTCAAACAGATTTGATAGCAAATAGGACTGGATTGGTATACGCATAGGGTTGATCTATTAGGTAATACCATAGTACAAATGATATAATTAGCTACTTCAGACTAATGTATTTTAACAGCAGCAATAAAAATAAAAGTGCTAAGAAAACAGTATTAAAAACTAATTTATCCATGGGTATATTTTTTCATCTTGACGCCTTTTTTTATTCATAGTATACGAGACAAGATAATACTATCCGATTACAGTGTAAATTCAGTATATGGGTATATGTGGATTAAAATACATTTACTAGAAAATATGTTTATAATCAAACTTTTTACGTATGATACGTACAGCAAGTCGACGAGTGGCTTCGGGCAGCTCGGGTGAATAGGAAAAAAACTAAATAACAGCTGTCTATTAACGGATAACAACATAATGCGCAGAACTGATTAATCATTTAGCTACTAAAAGACTAATACATTTTAATAACAGCAGCAGTAAAAATAAAAAAGTACTAAAAAAACAGTATTAAAAACTAATTTTCGGCATATAAACATCAAGAAGTTTGATTTTTCTACCATCTGGTAGCTGTGATGATGTAATCTGTGTCGACTCACATATGATTTTTATTCGTTTATTCTCATCAATTCCCACAGATGTCTTAGGATGTGAAAGGTCGAATGTACTATTAGATTGCTTTTTTTCCTTACTGCTTTGTTCTCTTGAGTAGTTTTGTGGTGTTTTTAATCTTAGCGTAGGCGCTTCATTAGACGTTGGTGAATACAATAATTGAACATTATCTCTACTGCAGGGTCTTTTCGAGTATTTTATTTTTAATGGTGCATTCGTGTCATCAGTAATACGTGGTAATTTTAATTCAGGTGAAAGCAATGGTGATTGTGTTTGGCGAATGTTTATCTTTGACGATGGTTTAGCGGTTATTATAATGGGTGTATAGATGTTGTTCACTGGTTTTTTGATTGGACTAGAATAGAAATTATAAAATTGATGATTGACCAAATCGTCATTCTGTGCACTCGATGATACAACTAAATATCGAGTATCCGAACATAACAAACTTGAATTTGGACGACGTGACAATATTTTATGATAAACTTCGTTGGATTTTTTACGTTCATTCAAATTTTTCATATTATCTAATTGTCTTAAGTCGTCGTTATCTTTTAACAATGTTGAATTATTACTTGTGCGTGAACTTGGTCGACGCTTTTTAACCGAATAAGATGGTAATATCATGGTATTGGATGGAAATTTATTGGTGATAAACATTCGTAAATCTTTATATGTCATGGGTGTTTGTTTAGTGTATCCAAATAGATTATTAAGTGTTAAATCGGTATTTAATCGATCAAAGTTGTCTGAAGACGATATCGAAGAAGCATAACAAATATCGTTAAAATTCCAACTAATCGGACGCCTCATTTGACAACTTAATTCAACCATTTTGTTCAAGTTTTATCGCGTCACACGTTCATATACCATGAAAGACTAAATGTTAAATTAATCCGCACATGCATTTTATAACACATTTATAACATTTTGTACAACACTTGACAAACATGAAAACAAGAAAATAAAATTGTAGAGTGTGTGTTTAATGGTATTTTAATGCATTGCACTTCAAAACTCTCATATAACATTTTAGACAAATTATTCAATCAAAGTTTTTGATTATGAACGAAGTATGAATAAACAAAAAGTTGCTTTTGACTATAAAATACATTTAATGATTGCTGTTAAATGTCTCGTATTCATATCTAACTATAAGGGAAATACAGTGTTTTCTAAAACTATTCGTTTTAATACATACACTTTCTAATTGAAAACTCTTACAGCTGTTCAAATTACTTATCGAGTTGCTTTTAGCTGTCACAATGGAGGCAAAAAAGGAATCAAAATAAAGGTTACTGGATACTTTTGGAAGTCACTGCAACCTCGTGAGAGACAAAGAGAGAATTCTCTTTAGACATGCAATAACTTTAATAAATGAATGTATCATTCATACACTGAGTATTTTTATTATAAATAAACATAGAGCACTAATAAATTAATTGTCACACTTCAAATTTGGTTGATGTGCTACAAGTTGTCAGATTATCAACTAACATAATAATCTTGGATAATTACGTCTCATACGTCCAATTTTGATACTTTTCGGGCTAACACTGAGCAATGTACCACTTCTCAAACCGGCATTGATCGTAAACAAGGCACGATTACGTATAATATTCTCCGATATATTATCGGAAAATTTATAATGTTTCAATATATGATCAATGATTTGTTGCGCACTAATACCATTTCTATCTTTATCCATTTGACAAATAGCTTCGCGAACCTAAACATACAGATATAAAATTTTTAACAAATAAAATTAAAGTATGCTTCTTTTGCTAACTTACCATATTTCCAAATGCGTGGCCTAGAAAGTAAAAAAAATATATATGAGTCTTCCATAATCTGGAGAATAATCAATTATACATACGAATGATATGATAAACTGGTACTTCATTTTTGTTTGAACTCGGATTAAATTTCGGTACAAATTGAGTTTGACATGTTTCAACAAGGTGACCACTCCTCCTTGTCCTTGTTCCTATATTTTTTTTAGTGCCATGTTTTGTTTTAGATTTCATGCCAGATGCCGATACAGTTCCTAAAATAAATAAATTTTGTGCAACATTAATACTAACGATATATCAATTGGGCAGAAATAATTGAGAATAGTCATCGTTTGATTGCTTGCCTGTTCGTGTTCCGAATGGTGACGTACTGATTGCATTTCGTGTGCCACTAGTAACTTGTGAGGAAGTGGATAACTTCTCTGCTATTTTGGCTTTCGTACCGCTTTTGCCTTTCGCTGTACTTCGTCCTTTGGTAGATGTTGCCGTGTGAACTTTTGATAAACCTTTGGACTTAGAGCCCGAGCGAGCTTTTGATATTGATGTACTTTTCGTTGGCATAGTAGCTGAAGAAAGAGATCGCTTAGCAACTGTTATTCGAAAAATCTTTCGTTTAAATTCGTTATGCATAAAAGGAAGGCGAGACGGTGCCATGGTGCTCAGAAGGAATGCAAAGATAAATCATATTTACTTGATTTTGCGTGTGCATCTCCGAATTTATCAGTCGATCGAGCTTTGCTTCTACTTTTATTATCAGTTTTTCTTTTTGTTCCATATTTTTGGAATGTTGCAAGTGTGGTAGATGATTGAACACCATTCTTTGATGCCAATGATCGCAGTTCTACTTTTGATGCATCACTTTTCGATGATTTGAGAGCAGCATGGGATAATTTGGTTTTTGACTGTGGACTAGTATCTAAAGCATTTAAATCATTATATAATTTAGCAGACAGTCTTATTTTAGCGACACGAACATCTCCGATCAGAAAAACATTAATTTTTACCCGAAATGTTGCCTGTTTTTGATAGTTGTGATGTGCGTACAGAGGATTTTGAGTTTTTTTGTCCTGTTCGACCAGTTCGAGATTTAGATCGTGCAGCACTTGATGAAGGCTGCTTGGTTGATGATTTATCGTTTGTTCTGGTACCCTAAAAACATTCAAATATAGAACATCAATCATTGATGTTAGATTGAAAACGTTACTATAATGCGTATACCGATGATGAACGTTTTGATTTTGCCGATCTTGTCGAAGATTTTGATACGCTGGATTTAACACTTGATGTTGAGCCTTTTTGTTGTACATTAGACGAACGTATTTTTGATTTTGATTTTGATGTTTTCCGTGATTTAGATACAGCTGAAGCTGGAAGAAGAAAAGACCACATTTGCCTACTATGAAGAGATAATACTTACATTTCGTATTGCTTTTCACTTTTTTCGTTCCATGTCGTGATTTTATTGAGCTTGGACTTCGTTTTGATAGTGAGCGTATGCCGGATGTGCCATATGACGTATCTTTGCTGCTACTTTGATTAGGTTGTGTTAAATCGGCCGCTTGTCTATTGGTTAATACACATGAATTAGACGTGCAGTAGAGAAACTATATTGAATTTATAATATACCTGATAAGATCTTCACAAAATCGTAGCTTTTCCTCTTTTGTCATACCCTCAAATTTAGCATTAGCTATTGTTGATGTCATGTTTGCAATATTTCACGTGAATTCAAAAAAATAATTTAATGACAAGGATGTACACACAACACACAGAGATTAGTGGGATTTTTTGAATGCAAAAACCCGATGTGTGTTTAAAATTGAACAACAAAAAAAAAATGCACTAAATAAAAACTATTACATCTGAAAGATTATTTAAATGAGAGAGATTTAAAAATAGCGTTGCTCCAGAAACATTGTACTCGTGCTATTGTAACGCGCCATGTAGTAAACTATCAATGAAAATACATATAATATAAAAATTCAGAAAATATATCTGATTTGAAAACAGTTTAAAATGTAATGTGAAGAAATGATTAGTTCTCAACTGATTGTAATAATTTTTTTATTGAAAATTATTTGATTCACTTGGACGAAGTATAGATAATTTTAAAATCCACTATTTGTGATAAGCAATAATCAAGAAAGAAATACCTTTTTAAAAAGTTATAAAGTTGCTCGACTGCTAGGATAATCGTTGAGTTATTACCTATACAAATTTATCTTTTTCACTATCGAGAAGAATTGAAGAGAAAAGTTCTACTTTTTTTAGGCGAATCATGACGCTCATGCTTTAGTAGTTTTTCTTCTCTAACACACATGCTTTGATTGCGATACAAAAGTAAACCATCAATCATTGATTAGAAATGTATGATGAACATCGAAAATCAGCATACTGAAATGGCTAATTATGAATCTATACGGTACCGTCGAATCACATAGAAGATATAATTCGTCTCTGCACTCATTTTTGTTGCATTTTGTCATTTATAGGCTCTTTGCTGGATATGTAGTAGTTTTCGGTTACTTCCACCGAAGCAAACAAACCCATCATCTAATAAAAGTAAAATAGCCTGAAGCGCATTCTATTCTAAGTTATATCATACTGATTCTCTCACGAAGATCCAATTTCGAATTCTTAAATACATCTTCGACTATAAAAGAAAACTGCAATGACTTATTTGTCTTCACGCACGTTCGAAGACAAATATGCTGTACTGATGAAAACTGCGTTCCACCTGATGATAAATAATTATATACAATATTTTATAACCACATTTACCATATTCTATGAATCTTTGCTTCCGTTATCGATAATAGAAGTTCTGTCTTTTCGGTGTTTCAGGTTGATTGAACTCTATACAAAGACTGCGTTTTATAACATAAAAAGTGAAATCCAATAGAATATACTTACAGGAACTATCATTCGATACCGAAATTGTTGAGCATGATTTACCATTTCTCTTATTTACGACAATCGGTGATATTTGTCAAGATCCTCTTCACACTCATCACGTATTGGTGAGTTTATGTTTATTTGGTCAGTAATATAACTTTGTTCTAAAACTGGTTGAATTGACTATTTTTCGCTCTTCTGTTGCTGCTTCATTGTTAACGTATTACTATTTGAATGTAATAAAATTCGTTTTCAATATTTGCGCCCGTTTATCATACCGTCAATCATTGTTAAAACCAATTTATTTTATTGGTGAAAGAGAGAAAGTTTATTATAAATAATAAACGATTAGAACGGGCGGATGACCGAAGATCTTTTGCCAGAAAAAATGTCTATACAATGAATTTTTCATTATATTTTGTTTTTGCAGTTTCAACTTTTCTCTTTTTAAGGACTGCAACACGTCAATGTTAGATCAGAATCTGAACTTCGGATTAGTTTTTTAGAAGAAATGTTTCTCCAAAAATTTTCATGATTCTTGTATTGCTTTATTGAATAGCTCTATTGAGATAATTTGTTGTTTGTCTCTTACAATATTCAGTAATTTCATTTTATTTAACCTGTTGGCGCACATATGACCCAGAAGTGAAGGAAGAAACTTTTAATGCATGTTTTAAATCTTTATTTTCTTTTACTTGTATTTTGTTCCGGTATTTATCATCGACAGTGTTGAGAGAGATGGATGCATTGAACAGACCATACTCTTGACGGCCAGCAATAGGGACTTTCATCTGCATTCTTTGAGAAGTATCGTATAACTCTTAGTCCTGTCGATGTTTTGCTTTTTCTTTCTTGTAAATATGTTTGTTGAATTTTAGGGCCCCATTAAATATTATTTTCAAATATTTAAGTTCTTTTTGGTGAGCTATCTATCCTTCGCCGTTAATGTTGATGGTCATAATTAATGGTGTTTTATATTTTTTCCTTGGATCTTTTGTGAAATGTATTAATTTCGTTTCTTTTCCTGTATTTCTAATTTCCAAAGCTGACATTAGTGAACAAATTGATCAACAGATTCTTGTAGTCTAATACTTAAATTTGTTGTTGTATATTGCACTACTGCACAATGCTATGTCATTCGCCAATAAATTGCTGTGGGTGTTGTTAGGTATTCGAGACAGTGAGTGAGTAGGAGACAAAAGTGAGCCTTGTGGCGTGCCTCGTCTCGAAGTAAGTCTCTTAGATACCCTACATTTGTATTCGACGACATCCTCTCTGCCAGTTGGGAACTGACATATCGAATATAATGAGAGCAATTTGTCTATTTTTCAACAAGTGGATATCAATATCATGCATTGTCCATAGTGCACGTATTTTTCCTAAATCCCGCTTAATAATCAGACAGCAATTTATGACGCTAGGCGAAATCATTTAATCTGTGTTCGACAATAATTTTTGAGTTGGATGAATGATTTAATCTCGCTAAAAATATAACTACCAAATAATTTCGCATTAATCATAAACAGTTTCAAAATATGATTTAAACATATCTACTTATTCTTGAATGTAACAGTTTTATTTTTGTTTCAGTTGGTGTCTACTACCTCGTTTGCCAAGAAAAATCTGTTCACCAATGACCAGAGCTTTTTGTCTGCTTTAATTTAAGGCGTTGATAATGCGTTCATTAGCTGATTAAATTGAATTAGGCGTTTGTTGGCGTTATTCTGTCATTTGATATTGAATTTTCGACAAGTAATCGGGATTTATAAAAATCTTCTCTTGATAATTCTATATCTGTCAATATTCAGTCTAATTTCTCAGCATATCCCTCCTGTAAGAATGTTAACTCATTTGATCCGACAATTTGCATTCACTGATCTTGCAGACAATTGTACAAAATTTTCTCATTACTATTCGTTCTAACTTCGAAATTATTGAATCAACAGTCAGTAGAGTCTCATGCTGTATATCCCGATCAGAATATAGCCAAAAAACATATATCCTGATCGGGATATAAATTCGATCTTTTTAAATAAAATTCATTACCGAAAAAATGATGATATTTGTGGAAAGTTTTGACCATACCACACAAAAGAACGTAAAAAAACGGCATCAGATTCTTTTATCCTTGTGACCAAGTCTTTTTCCGGTCAGGAACCTTTTTTAAATAATTCTCGAGGTTCATATTCTATCTCACGATCAGGATATTTTACTTTTTTTACTAGCTATTTTTAACTTTCTCTTACTTTGGCCATGCGACATGGAGTGAAAAATTCAGGTAAAGTCGCGCGAAAGAAGAGAAAAGAAAAGTTTAGACGTGCTGTAGCTGAGAATAAAGGCAAATCGAGAAAGTTTTAATGAGCTCTTGAGTGCAGTTAGGTTCACTTTATGTGAAAAAATGTATATTTCAAGCCTTGCAGTTTTTGTTTTTCTAAGTCTGGCTTGCTGGCTGAAGTATCGCGAAGTTTTCGGAACCAGAGAGTCTGTTAGAAAATGTTTCATTTGTCTGAAGATGAACTATGGCAAAAACTTTGCAATATCGTCTGTTCGAGTCCAGACGAGTCAGAAATTTTGAAAACAGAAGAAAGGTCAAAATAAAAATCTGTTTGCTTTAAGGAGCTGAAGAAAATCCTCTCCTCACTGATCTCTGTCACATAAAATTAAACAAAAACTCAGCTTTTTATCGTAAGCATGATCTGCTTCGAGAACATAAACAGGTGGGGAGTTTGGCTGGGCCGGTACATCTGTCAAATGGCAACGCAGGTGTC